GGAGCGTGGGAAGAGAGATGAGAGTGGAAGAGAGGGATGAAGGAGAGAAGAATGAGAGAGGAGAGAGAGAGAGTATGAGGAGAGACGATGAGAAGAGGACGAGGAGAGAGAGAGAGAGAGAAGAGAGAGGAGAGAGAGGAAGAGAGAGAGAGAGAGAAAGAGAGAGAAAGAGAGAGAAGAGAGAGAGAGAGAAGAGAGAGAGAGAGAGAGAGAGAGAGAGAGAGAGAAGAGAGAGAGATGAGAGAGAGAGAGAGAGAGATAAGAAAAGAATACGAAGAAAATAACGTAAAAAGAAAAGAAAAAAGAAGCCAGAGAATATAGAAAAGAAGGAAGGAAAAGAAAAGAACAAGAAAAAAGAAGTCAGAAGGAACAAAGATAAAAAAGAAAAAGAGAAGATAATATTAGAAGAAAAAAAAAAAAAAATCATGATAACAACAACAACAACAACAACAACAACAACCACATGCAGGTAGGACTCATTCATTTAAACTTCCACTCCCTCGCTACACACCCTGCCTCGCTCCCCCCCCCCTTCCCGGCCCCTCCCCACCCATAACACCTTGGAGGTCGTCTTGTGTCCCTCTTAAGTCGACGTCGATGATGTCTCTCAACGACAGGACCGGTAACTAAGCAAACTAGAGACGTCACGAGCGGGAGACATCATAGGCGGGTGATTTCGCCGCTAAATCGCTCATTTGCAAACCCGCTAGACTAGCGCAGCGCTACGTACACGAGCGGGAATATGCTAAGTCGCGGCGGGGGTTGCCATGATTATGCTGATTCTTGTTTTGGAGTGAAAGGCCGATTTCTTTTCCTTCTCTCTCTCTCTCTCTCTCTCTTTATTCCTTTATATTCTCTCGATTTTTGTGTGACTGTCTGTACCTCCGAGCGCGCATCTTTCTTCTCCTAAGTATGACAAGGTCGAGCAAAAAAAAGCTACTCGCTACGTAGCGATTCCTTTTCTAGCGCACGTAGCGACCGGCCGCCATAATGGTGTCTTTTTTTGAAAACCAAATCTCGTAGCATTTATTTATTTATCTATTCTTTCGTCGTTTCGCCTTCGTATGCTTTTTTTTTTAGTGTTTATTTATTTACATAGTTGTTGACACAAAATTGTGCGTTCACTGATGTGCAGGAATGTTGTTTAATAAACTTTCCGCTATTATGTATGAGCGATCATGAACGCGCATGATTTTTTTTCGTCTCTCTGTCTGTAGGTTTAAATTTTAAAAACATCGTGTTGCTCTTGTGTGTGTGTATATGTGGTTTGTATTTTGTATGCATGCGTCATATAACATTGAAACGTATCTTGTGGGTTGGAGATACGTGTGTGTGCGTGTGTGTGTATGTACTTGCATATGTGTACGTCCATGTGTTGTTTGTTTATTTGTATGTGTGAATATATGTACGTGTGTTTGTGTGTTTGTATAAATAACGAAACATCGACAAAATTACATCACCTTACACTAGCACCCGACCCCCCCCCCCCAAAGAAGAAGAAGAAGAGGAAGAAGAGAAAGAAAGAAAGGAAGAGAGGAATATAACAGAGGTAGCGAGAACGTGTTCGGAACACTGAATGCATTATTTATTTGCAAGGTCTTCTCTTTGACCTTGTGTGGGCTCCCTTTCCCCCTTTCCCCCCCACCCCCACCCCTTCCTTTGGACTGAAGGGGGGGTGAGGGGGGAAGGAGGAGAGAAGAGGGAAGATGATGATTGGGAATAAGGGATGAGGTGGGTCTCTCCTTTTATCCCCTCTCTCTGTCTCTCTTTCTCCTCTTTCTCTTTCTCCCTCTCTTCTCCCTTGGATTGAAGGGGGGGGGGGAGGAGAAGAGGAGAAGAGGGAAGAAGATGATTGGAATAGGGAGATGAGGCTCTCCCTTATCTCCTTTCTCTCTGTCTCTCTTTTCTCCCTCTCTCTCCTTTCTCTATCTCTATCTTAGCATAACCTCTCACGCACTCCTCTTTCATTCCCTCTTCTATTGTTAAATTCCATTCTCCCCTTCTTTCCACCTGTTTGTATCGTGTCTCCATTCTCCTCCGTACCTCCCCCCCCCCCACTCCCACTCCTCTTTCACCCCCACCCCACCCCTACCCCCTCCCCGCATTACCAGCCGCGTGCGTAATTATCAACACGCTTCTCTTTTGGTTCGTCTTGTGACAATACGGTCTTTTGTCTCTCTCTCTCTCTCTCTTCTTTCTCTCTCTCTCTCTTTCTCTCTTCCTCTCTCTCTCTCTTTTCCGGCTCCTCTCTCCCTCTCTCTCTTTCTCTCTTCCTCTCTCTCATTCTCTCTCTCTCCTGTCTCTCTTTCCTCTTCCTCTCTCTCTCTTCTTTCCCCTCTCCTCCCTCTTCCTCTCTCTCTATCCCTCTCTTTCCCTCCTCCTCTCTCCCTCTCTCTCTCTCTCTTTCCCCTTACTCCCTCTCTCTCTCTCTCTTCCCCCCTCTCCTACCCCTTCCTCTCTCTCTATCCCTCTCTTTCCCCTCCTCCCTCTCTCTCTCTCTCTCTATTCCTCTCTTCCCCCTCCCTCCTCTCCCTCTCTCTCTCATTTCTTTCTTTTATTCTTTTTTTCCTTTACCCTAATTAAGTCTATTGTAAGAGAAGACACAACACTGCATTCAAAACCTACATCTGGCTCTCTCTCTCTCTCTCTCTTTCCCCCTTCTTCTCCCTCCCTCTCCCTATCATTCCCCTCCCCTCCTCCCTCTCTCTCTCATTTCTTTCTTTTTTCTTTTTTTCCTTTACCCCCTAATTAAGTCTATTGTAAGAGAAGACACAACACTGCAACCGCATCCAAACCTCAACAACTGGCTCCCCTCTCTCTCTCTCTTTCCCCCTCCCTCTCTCTCTCTCCCTCTCTCTTTTCCCCCCTCCTTTACCTTCCCTCTCTCTCTCTCATTTCTTTCTTTCTTTCCTTTTTTTTAATGTTCTTTCTTTACCCTAATTAAGTCTATTGTAAGAGAAGACACAACACTGCATCTAAAACCTCAACATCTATCTCTCTCTCTCTCTCTCTCTTTCCCCCTTCCTCCCTCTCTTTCACTCCCTCTCTCCCTCTCTTCCCCCCTCCTCCCTCCTCCTCCCTCCTCTCTCTCTCTCTCTTCTCTTTTTTAACCTTTCTCCCTCTCTCATTTCTCTTTCTTTTTTTTTTTCTTTTAATCTTCTTTTACCCTAAATTAAGTCTATTGTAAGAGAAGACACAACACTGCAACCATCCAGAACCTCAACATCTAGCTCTCTCTCTCTCTCTCTTTCCCCCTTCCTCTCCCCCTTCCTCCCTCCCTCTCTTCCCCCCTCATCCCTCTCTCCCTCCCTCCTCTCTCTTTTTCTCTTTTTTTAACCCTCTCTCTCATTTCTTCTTTTTTTTTTTCTCTCTCTCTCTCTCTCTTTCCCTTCCTCCCTCCTCTCTCTCTTTTCCCCCCCTCCTCCCTCTCCTTCCCTCTCCCCTCTCTCTCATTTCTTTCTTTTATTCTTTTTTTTCCTTTACCCTAATTAAGTCTATTGTAAGAGAAGACACAACACTGCAACCGCATCCAAAACCTCAACATCTGGCTCTCTCTCTCTCTCTCTTTCCCCCTTCCTCTGCCCTCCCTCTCCCTCTCCTTTCCCCCCCTCCTTACTCCCTCCCTCTCCTCTCATTTCTTTCTTTTTTTTAATCTTCTTTCTTTACCCTAATTAAGTCTATTGTAAGAGAAGACACAACACTGCAACCGCATCCAAAACCTCAACATCTGGACCGCATAGTGTGGCATCGCTTAACACACCTGTGTCCTCACCTGTCAGGCCTGTGGTGTATGTTTTTTATTGTCTTTATTTTACCATTGTTATTGTTATAATTATTATTTTTTTATCTTATATTTTTACGTATTTGTGATTTGAAGACGATTCTGAAGGGTTGTGGACATTTAGAGAGAGAGAGAGAGAGAGAGAGAGAGAGAGAGAGAGAGAGAGAGAGAAGAAGAGAGAGAGAGAGGAGAGAGAGAGAGAGAGAGAGAGAGAGAGAGAGAGAGAGTGAAGAGTAAGAGGAGAAGAGAGAGAGAGAGATAGGAGACACCCAGACAGACCGAACGACGCAAACAACAAACAGAAACAGAAAAAATAAAATAAAAAGACCAAAACAAGAAAGTAAAGAACCCATCCCACCCGCCTCCACCCCCCCCGCCAAAAAAAAACAGAAAAAAAAAGAAAAAGAAGAAAGAAAAAAACCTGATTAATGATCTTGCGTTCTTATCGAGGAGAGAAGGAGAGGTAGAAGGAGAGGGAGAGGGGGGGGTGTCATTTGGTTTCGAGGTGTCAAGGGAGCGCAAAAGGACATGGGGGTCGATGTTTTCA